GAGAGGGTGTTTGAGTGTGTATTTGGGTGTGTTTGTGGGTGTGTGTATTTTTGTGTGTGTGTATGTGTGTGTGTTTGTGTGTCTGTGTGGGTATGTATGTGTGTATGTGTGTGTCTTTTCTATCAGTCATTTGCAATTGAATGAGGTGGCAGTCGACTGGTGTCAGAGGTAAAATTAACCAGAAAATGGCTGCCTAGCCTGGGTGTCCTTGAAAACTAAATTTATGTTTTAATGCATATTATCAACGTTTTTCTATTAAATTCCTACAGGACTATGTTTTTAAATGGTTATAAAGGATGTTGAGCAAAAAAAAAATCAACAAAATTTGCCCAACATATTTCATCAACTGTATTATTTTGACTAGCATCTGATGCCACCACGTTGCGACACATATGGCATCTAATGGGTCAGGGAACTTGAGGGTTTTGTATGTCCTAACTTTTGCTTTGATTCCTTCCCTCAAGGAAAAGCTGAAGATGGTGCCTCTACTCCGGCTGGTGGAGAAGAGGGAGAAGATGAAGGGAAACAGAGCAGCCAGCCCATTTCTTCCATCTCTGTGTCTCACAAGCCAACTGGTAATGAAATAATTGTACTTCTAATAAACCACTGACAAGCTATTCAATTGTCGAAAGCCCAGAATCCTAAAGTTTTTTCAAAAGAGAGAAGAAACTCTTTCATTCTTTTATACGCACATTTTTATATATTTTATATGATACCACCTTATTACGTTTTTTTTGGGGGTGCTTTTTCTAACATTTAGAATTTGAAATTGCATATAATGTTTCTCGAGCAGGTGCAAACAATACCACAAATTAAGAAATGGCAAAAATGTGGAACATTTCAAAATTTTTTTCAGAATACATCTAAACAGCTGGTCACGGAAATGCTCTCCGTTGTTGACCAGATGTGACTTGGTTGTGTAGTGACAGCTGACAGAACACATCTTTCATTCTATGTATTTATTATTGATTCAGCAACAAATTCTTTTGACAACTTTCCACTGATAAATATTAGTGTAAATGTCTAGGGATTTCCTATGCCTTTGTGCTTGTCGGAAATACAAAGTGAGAATCTTTGGTGGTTGGCGGGAGCCCTGGCGTGGTTTGCTCCTTCTTTTCTATCAAACATCATCTCTAGTCCTTATCTCCCCTCCTTTTTCTTTTTTTTTTTGAACTCTCTTGTAACGGCACTTGTATGACGTAATTTTGTGAAAAGTGCCGCAAAACTCTTTAATTAAAATGAAAATAGTTCTTACAGTGTTGCAAGTGCCGTAAAACTCTAAGCTAAAACTTTTTAAAGTTCTTTCTGTCTCCTCTTTCTTCGTGTTCGAACACAGATCAACAGGGCAGTGGGGTGGACGGCCAGAAGCCAGCGGCTCTGGAGCTGAGCATCAGCCCGGCCATCCACAACCTGCCCACAGCCCCGGTGGACAGCGGTACCCTCACCGACCGGCTGGAGCGAGCCCTGGGCTCGGTGGCCCCCCTCCTGAGGGAGGTCTTTGTTGACTTTGCTCCGTTCCTCTCCAAGACGCTGATTGGCTCACACGGGCAGGAGCTCCTCATCGGAGGTAAGCTATGTTGGGATTGATAATAACACAGGGTTCGTACGGGTCTTGGAAAACTGGAAAAGTCATGGAATTTTTATTTTATTTTCCAAGACATGGAAAGTTCTTGGAATTTTGGGAAATTGGCAAAATTCTTGGAAAAACAAATTTTGAACTAGATCCATTGTAAAACTATTTCCTCAAAGTTTGGAAAGCCTCGACTTTACGCATTCTGAAGTGTACCATAATGCATTTTTACATGCTGTACGAAAAATCTCTTCTGAAATGACACGTTATTTTTCTTGGAAAAAAGAAATCTGGTCTTGAAAACTCTTGAAAAAGTCTTGGAAAAAAAATCTTCTGCTCAACATCAACAATAACACTGTCCCAGAATAAGATCAAGAGTTTCTCATTGGAGGTAAGCTATGTTGGGATTGGTAATAACATTCAATAATAACACTGTCCAAGAATAATATCAAGAGGCTAGCCCTGGACAGGGAAAGGTAGAAAGTTTTTGTTTGTGGCCTGTACCCTGAACCAGGGGGAGAAAGGCAATGATGATGATGATGATGATGATGATGATGATGATGATGATGATGTTGAAGCGGAAGTGTTATGTGACGGGCTGTCAGGTTTACAAGGGCTAGTGGGTGGTTGGCGGGTGCCCTGGTGTGGGTTTACTGCTTCTTTCTTATCTAACATCTGCCGTCCTTTTCTATCCTCCTTTCTCTTTGTGTTTGCTACTCTCTTGTAACAGCTCTAATCTTCAGCACTTATATAACTTCTTTTGTTTCAAGTGACGTTTAGAAAGAACCACTAAAACAAAACACAAGGGCAAGGAATGTTTTTCTCTTATGCTCCAGGCCTGGTGCATGGTGTTGGTTGTGCTAGTAGTTAGGCTACCAGACCCGTTATCGTAAGATTGTGGGTTTGGGGGTTCGAGCCATATCTCGGTTCAACATTGTATCCTTGGAAAAGGAACTTTACTTGAATTTCCCATTTGGCTCTGTCCTTTCGGAGGTGGACGTTAAGTTAAATGCCTCTTAAATGACTTAATAGCGTTGATCTCTCTCTTGCCCTTTTTATCTCCCAGTGGAGCATAGGCCATCAACAACATTTCCCCAGCGAAGCCTGTCCTGTGCATCCTTTTCTAGCTCTTTCCATGATGTCCTCGCCTTTTCCATTTTCGCTTGTACGGCTCGCCTCCATGTCATCTTTGGAATAGCGATGATAGAGGGGGTGTTAAATCTTATACCATTTCACCATTTTCACCAGGCCTGGTGACGCTGAAACAGAGCACGTCCGTGGTGGAGCTGGTGATGCTGCTGTGCTCCCAGGAGTGGCAGAACTCCTTACAGAAGCACGCCGGGCTGGCCTTCATCGAGCTGGTCAATGAGGGAAGGTGAGTAGTGATGAGTGACCCACCCAGCCCACAATTTTTTTTTGGGGGGGGGGGGGGAGGAGGTGGCAGTGTGCTCTGTCTGACTTTATGCAGTTGTGTGCGTCTAACGGCAACTGTTTCGTATGCTCATTTGACCGTATGTAGTTGCGAGCGCTGTAAAACTTTTACTAATCTAACAGCAACAGCCAGCCCCCACCCCGCCTGTGGGAAGCAGGTCTTGGTTGCTTGCTCTGGGGCGCAGGTTGCTGCTAACTGAATTTTCAAAATGAGGGAGGGAGGGGGCTGTATACATCAAAGATAATGATAACCCTGCAAGATTAATTTGCTGCTCCATAGAGGTTGCTTTTAACTGAATTTTCAAAATGAGAGAGGGCGGGGAGCTGTTTACTTCAAAGATAAGGACAACTCTGCAAAATTAGGTTGCTGCGAGGCAGAGGTTGCCTCTATCTGGGTTGCTTTTAAGTGGACACCACTATAAATGTGAGATATGAACATTATTTTTGCAATTATTGCTATGCTCAATTTGGGGTTCTTTTTTTTTTTCTCTGATATTCGGGAAAAGAATATTGGGGAAGGCCGTGGGCATTGAGCTGCCACCTGTGAAAAATTCAAAATTTAAATAAAAATTCCATACCATAAAAGGTACCCCTGTCAAGCCCGTAAAATAGTAAGACACAACCTTACACTTTCTTCGATTCAAGATGTATTGACCATGTCTCTCCTTTGGAGCATATCAAGGAAGTCGAAATGTGAAGGGGGGGATGGGGGGAGTAGAACTTGGGCTGTCTGTTTCTTCTTTGTTTACCACCCTGGCAAAGCTGTATCATTTATCCTGCTTTAAGATTGTCCGTCACTACGCAAAAGCCCATAAAGAGTAGTGCATATGTGCTATATACAATACTTTAATAACTTTGAAGTTGTGACAGTGGTTGGTTGGCGGGTGCTCTGATGTGGTTTGCTCCTTCTTTCCTATGAAACATCCTTCTTTCCAACCCCTCTTCCTTCTTTTTTGTATTTGTTACTCTCTTGTAACACCTCTAGTCGTTGGCACTTGTATGACATTTCTTTTGCAGAACTAAACTAATACATAAATTTTTTTCTTCCCTTGTTGTCTTCAAATGTTATGCACGGGCAATTCTAATCTCTCCCTCCTTTTTTGTTGTGTCTTTGTCTCGTAGACTTCTGGCTCACGCCACCAGAGACCACATCGTGCGTGTGGCCAACGAAGCCGAGTTCATCCTCAACAGAATGAGAGCCGAGGACGTTCAGAAACATGCAGACTTTGAGGTAAACATGCCAATCCCTGACCGTGTCCCTCTAGTGCCTTCTTCTATGTGGGTCGTTTGTGGGCTTTTTGATTATTTAAAAAAAAGTATTTGTTATCAGAAAAGTGTTGATAACACACTCTACGGAACATTACAGCAACTGCAGCAGACCTGCACTTATCAATACATGGTGTTGGACAGAAGGGCGAGAGCCCAGCTGATGCTGGATCGATAACAACAACAGCAACATCAGAGAAGTGGGAAGACATGGAATAATATCAAAAGGCTAGCCTAGGATAGGGAAAGGTGGAAAGTGTTTGTTCGTGGCCTCTACCCTGATTCAGGGTGAGAAAGGCAGTGAAGATGATGATTTGTTATCATGTAATAGAGTCTTTTATTTTTAGAAGTTTAAAAAAAATAAAAAATATTAATGACAAATGTATCACAAAGATTAGGCAATGTTCATAGTAATGCTGGGATATTTTGAGGAAAAAAAATTTCATTGATGCTTTGAAGTGTGAAGTCACTATTCATGCTATTTGAATACTGTGTGCGAATGATTTTTTCTTATGAATGCCTGTTGGCATTGCTCACTATTCTATATTAACTATTCATCAAGCCTTTATAAGATAAATGTAGGCATAGATTACCTCAGGGCAAAATTCAAAATTAATTCTTATCAAAAACAAAAATACTCTGATCAGTATAAAAAATTTGAATGGCTCTACCACACTTTGCAAAATTGTGAACGTTGTATAGTAAAATTAAATGAGCACAGCTCTTGTACTGAATATAGCAGCTTGTGCTGATATGAAGCAAATGCTTCATTTAATGCATGTTTAGAGGCCTTTCTCAAGGCTTTTCACTGGTGTCTGTGGTGTAGCAGTTAGTTGCTGTGGCATGCAGGAGACCCGAGTTCGATTCCCAAGTGGGGAGAAAATATTTAGCGAGTATCTCTGTCACTGTGCTGGGATGTGTATCCCTCTCTGCTCGGGTTGGCCCTGACAGGCAGGGTTGGAAGCTTACTTGCCTCTTCCTAAGTGATCTAAATTGTGGCGATGGGGGTGTAAAAAAAAAAACCAACATAAAAAGTTTTTCAATCTTTTTTCCCCCCTTTTCTCGGCACTGACTAAAATGGTGCTGTTTGTGTGTGTTCCCCCAGTCTATGTGTGCCCAAGCCATGATGGAGCGCCGGGAGGAGGAGAAGCTATGCGACCACCTCATCAAGTCGGCCAAACGCCGAGACCACTCCCTGGCCCTGCGACAAAAGGACAAAATACTTAACATCCTCATGAACAAACACGGAGCTTGGGGGGCGCAGGATGACCAACCGTAAGTTTTTTTCTTCTTCTTTTTTTTTTTTTTCTTCTTTCCTTTTTTTTTACCCTGCCCATGTCTATCGACTGGTGCTTGTGTGTTCAGTAGAAACAACAAAATGTTCAACATTTTGGATTTTAAAACTTACTGTTAGTACAAGTGTAAATACACACAGGAGAATTTTGAGTTGTTGTTGTTGGCTCACCCTCTGTTAGTGTGATCTGTTGCTCTGTAGTATTTCTTCAGGGGCTTTGTTATTTTGTTATTCAATGAACATTACGATAGTTTTTTTTGTGTGTAAAAAGGAATAGTTATTCACTCATACAAGTAATTAACCCTATCCGTACGTCGTGTTTTACTATTGTATCCATACGATGTGGGGAACTCTGTGCCACCACTTTTCAAAGAGGAAATTTACTCGTTAATCTGATCTGTATGCTTTCCATAGTAGTCTGTCAAAATGATTTTTTGAGAAATACTGAAAGTTTCAAAGAGATCTTTGTACTAGAAGTATTTTAAAATGTGAAGAATACAACCCCGGGGGTACAAAATGACCACAGGGCGTACGGATAGGGTTAACTGGTGTTAAGCACAATGTATTTAATGCCTTATTAAATTGTCGTGTGTCCATCAGAGCCGCAGAGTTCTGGAAGCTGGATGTCTGGGAGGATGACTCTCGGCGCAGGAGGAGGATGGTGAGGAACCCTCTTGGCTCCTCCCACCCAGAGGCCACGCTCAAGGCTGCTATAGAGCATGGTAAGCCAGTAGTCTGCCTAGGCTGTGTGGGTTCAGGTGGGTTTGTCGTTATAACGATGATAATAATTATGATGAGTATTTATAATAATGGTGATGTGTAATGTTAACAACAACAACAATAATATGAAAGTAATAATGATAAAAGTATAAATAATAATAGGTCATCTTTTTCTCCTTTTTACTCAAACTCATTGTTCCTTCCGTCTAGCTCATCCTAATGGCAATTTTCTTACTGACGGTTCAGAACTACAACAAAAAATTGTTGCCCCCGCGCTGGGAAAGTACCTTCTAAATGATATGTTTGTGTATAGCAGGATGGTAGTGATCTCGTTCTCAAATAAAGAAAAAAAGCAAACTATTCAAAGTGAGCATTCTTTCACTGCTCTACAAATGCTTCCAGGAGCAGCGGAGGATGCCATCAATGCTGCCCGAGAGGCCTTCCACGCACACCTGGCCACCCTGAAGAAGACGCAGAGAGAGACGACCGAGTTCACAGACGAGGAACTGGTCATGGAGGAGAAGGACGTGGAGCAAGAGTTCACAGGTCAGTGTCTCCTGGACCATGATGGGGAGTGTAGTTTGATGATGATGGAGGGAAAATACCGAAACATGTTGGCTTGTGTGACTTTTAACTCAAGAGTTCTTACTTGCCTTTTAACTCAAAGTGTTCAAGGGGGTTGGTGTAGTTTGATGATAATGGAACTAGAACATCGAAACATGTAGACCTGTGTGTTTGTTTTTTAACTCGAGAGTTCACATTCCGTGTCTGGAAGGGGAAAGGAGTTTGATGATATTGGCGCTAAACTACTGAAACATTTAGGCTAGGCTTGGGTGTTTTTTTATTCAAGAGTTCACAGGTCAGTGTCTGGACCATGATGGGGGTTGTCGTGTCATGACGTTCGAGCTAGAATATTGAAACATGTAGGCTGATGTTGTGTCTTTTAACTGA